ATAATGATTGATAGAGCAAAATATCTTGGACTATATGAGATATAACTTAAGTTTAAAATAATAATTACATCAATTCCCATATTTCTTCTTCAAACTATAAATCTTCAGTGGATTTGTAAATCACCAGAATTGTTAATCCATCATTAATACGTTCAATTTTTTATGTCTGACTGCAAATGGACACATGCTTATGTGATCAAAAGATTGTTCCGGTTGTATTATAAATGAAAAGGAAAGCTACAGTGTTTATTTACCTTCTACAATTTTACATGCGTGTTGATCCTTGGGCATGTTTCCGGAAGTGTATCAGAATAATTCACACATAATATGGATTTCTCCACTTCAAGTTTTGTGCGGACAATGATTTGTGTACCCGCTGCCAAATTGATTTGTGGAACATTGAAATCTTTATCAAGTTCATGTAGGTCATGAACGCACGTCTTCCAGTAGCATTTAACAGAACTAAAATACAAACGACTTAATTAGTAGTGCAGGTAATTCTTTTAGGATTGATTATCGCATGTCTTGGTACATTATCTCCATAACCTTGTACATCTAAGTTTGGAGTTTAAGTACTGTACACGTTTTGTTTCATAATAAATCTATTCTGTGTATTTCTTATCTTTTGTAGTCCATTTTCTATGTTCCAGGTTCATGAGGTAGTGAAATTGTATAATCAAGTTGAAGTCTCTTCAGAACGTCTGCTATTCAAAATTCCTGCAACATGGCAAGTAAGCGCACAAGTGATACAATCTCCAAGTTTCTATTTTTCTTTACTATCATGATACGTTTAGGAGAGAGGACAGACTTTTGTTTAATCTTTTTAATAGTCTTCATAAGTAATTAATACTTTCTTTCATTCAGGGAATAGAGGCCTCAAGATTGCTCGAAGCTGAAGGAATTCAAACGCACTTGACATTTGTTTATAGGTATGCACGGAGAGAGTATGCACGGAAAATTTAAGTTTTCATGTTGTGTATTAAATTAGGCTGTAGAAAAATTTAGCTTATGTCGGGACATACTTTCTCAGGCTTAAAATTCAGATTTTGGCAGAGTTGTGTCTGACCAGGTTCATGCACAGAACGAAATTGTTATCTTAATATTTCCTGTATAAATATTATCTATGGAGTTCAAGTAGGAATGCATTAGTTCTGACATGATGACATCTATACTGATGGTAAGCATAATAACACATCTTTATAGTTGTTTGTTTGTAAGGCTGGCAGAGTTCCACATTCTCTCCATTAAGATAGAAGAGCTTAATGATTTTATGGTCATCTTGTATGTAGAAATTATCATAAAATAAACCAAATCAAGCTGGATATGTCAAAGCTTGTGAAGTTTTCCCTCTTCCAGTTTGATCTTGACTCAAGCTTGATTTCAGTTTGGAAACACATGTCCATGCTTGGTTTTCTAATTATTTAGGAAACTTGATAGGGTTTTTTGGAGAACATGGACTGAATATCCAGTATAGACATTACACGAATAGCGATGGAACCAGTAACTTCCCACTGTGGGTGTAATATAATATACATTCTTGGTTTGTATGTTGCACAAGTAAGAGTGGAAGCCAAAGGTTATACATTCCATCAGAAAAATTACAGCACAGTTATATTTAAGAATACATGATGTACAAATAGTTTCACTCAAAAACTGCAGCTGCATATGAATGATACATTTATTATATACACTTTTAGACAAAAGGAGCTGCAAAAATGTATTGATTATATATGATAAATACACGTAGAGAAAAGAAAATCCAAAAGTATAAGGACAATGGCAAAAGCCTATAGGAGTCTTCTCTGATGCCCTATATCCCCAAAGCGCTTCATGATCATCTCATTATCAGTAATGTCAAATTCTTCTCTTTATATGTAACCAGTCATTCTTCCAGTTACCTTCAGCTGGACTATGTAATGGATTCTTCACAAATTTCATAGTGGAGGATGTTCTTTCCATGGTCGCAGTCATGAGAGATAAGCGAACACAATTTCACGAGCAAATGAATTAAGGGTTAGACATTATTCTTTCATATTCGAGCTAACTATTGTTTGAAAGTCCACCAACTGTAGGTTGGGGTGAGGCTTGAGAGTAGAGGCTGAACCATGGAGCCTTGGAGGGTGGTTGCATGCTGTCTATAGAGACGTTGAGGCAAAGGGAAAGTTATTGTGACCTTGGAGAGGGAGAGGTGATTTCCAGTATGTCATGGGACTGGAGTTGGTGGAAGGCGGAGGTCGATACAGATGCCTATAGAGGAGAAGGGAAATGGCCAAATGCAGGAGGGGAGTTGTAAGAGAGGGTTAGAGAGGCTGCAAGCAGGACACAGTCCATTATTGGTGGCTGACGGATCTGGAGAAAGAAAAACAGAGTCAGAGATGTCATTGGCAATGTTGCAGTGGAAGTCATAGAAGATTGGCAGAAAAAAGGAGCAATGATGTTGCGGCAACATGGAAAATGAATGACATTGATTCAAAGAGAGAGGGGCTATAGGGAAATGATGACCAAGTAGCAAAAAACTAGAAACTCACGAGAATTGATTAACAGAGTATGAGTTGAATTGGATATAGGATCTTGGAAGTGGATGGACAAGACTACAACCTTTTTATTGGATCTCATTTCTTCTTAAAATATTCATTTGAGGGAGGTATTTTAATGAAAGTTAACCAAATGATACCGAGGTCTTCAAAATTTTGGCAAAATATTTGTTTGAGTGAACAACTACACTCATCTGGATGTTTCTCCACCGCTACATATTGATAAAAAATAAATTAACATTTGAAATGACAATTTATCATGATATAACAAGATGTATGATGTTCAAAATGTGTCTAAAATACACACCGGGCTGACATGGCTTCATGATGGAAGTGTGTACTAGATTGGTTTTTATAGAACAAGCTGAGCGAAACCTTGAGCTGGAAAGCCAATAATTGCAATATCCATATCTGGGGATGTCCATTTTCCTAGTAAGGATGCATCTTAAGTGTAGTTTAGGCGTAAGATTAACAGGGTATTGACTGAATTCAAAATTAGCTTACATGCTTATTATTTTTAATTCAACTTATGGTGGATGTGAACACCTATACTAATCTTAGTGTCTTCCCTTGCACACTGACAGAATTTGTTCAACAGAATAAAGACATTTCTGCATGATGCATGATAAAACAAAGTGTCTTATCCAGAACATGTGTATGACACATGTCTGCTGCAACATGACTTCATGTTCCAAGCTTTCGTGCTAGATAGATTTTTATGGGCTTAAATCAAACCATGAGCTTGATAAAAGTGCACCCAAGTTGCATTATTCATACATGAGGTTGTCCATTTTCCTAATATGGAAACATCTTTAGTATAGGTTGGGTATAATCAACAGTACATTGCTGCTGGTCTGGACTAAAACTAAGCTGCATCTTTTTTGGTTTAACTTATCAGGCATTGGCAGTGGATATAAGAATGAATCTAGTTCAATGTGTAAACCTCCTTCCTGGTTGCTGGATTAGAATAAATGATTAGAACATCAGGAATTGCCTACTATTTTGATGCATTGAGGCATTCATATTTTTAAGGGCCTACTTATTTGGATTTTCTATCTAACCTCCTTTCCGAATTATTTTGTTACTCATTTTTTAATGTGGTAAAAGCTCATATATTGTAGTCTTTGATCATGCAGCTTCTGTCAGGCAGCAGCTGCTGCTCAAGCAGGTGCATCAGTTATCCAAATATTTGTTGGCCGCATGAGGGTAATTCTTACTATTTGTGAGTCGATGGTTTGTTCTCCATATATATGGTTCATGACAAATTTGAAAATCAGGACTGGGCCCGTGGCCATTCTGGAGATCCTGAGATAGAAGCTGCAATCAGAAGGGGAGAAGACCCTGGAGTGGCTTTGGTGAGCTTTTTTTACAAAAAAATTCTTTCGTATCTTTTCTTTCTTGTTAAAGGGAAAAGATTCTGAACTTGAAGTTTGTGTTGACAACCTCTTGATTATAACTTTTATTGTGGATTACTGTTTATTCTAAACTCTCCATTATGTTGTTATTCCTCGGGTTGTATGTTGTTGCTTCTGATGGAAGCAGAAACGGGAGTGGATGATGAAGAGAAAGAAGTCATGGTTGAATTCATGTGGTCTCTAATACAGATTTCGAGTTAAGTCACTTTTATTCATATTAAGTAGTAAATCAAGAGGTTAGGATGCGACAGTACTTGGCTGGAGAGGTTATAATAGATTGGAACAACTGAAGATCATGTTGTTACTCTGATGTTGGAGAGGTGTATATAACATTCTGCTCTGAAATCCACTTCGTATTGTTTGATTTTGAGGAAAGGATGGAATTTTTGAGATATAATTTATAAGCTAAAAATCCTACAGAATACACTAAAGCATATTTCGCCCTCAATATATGTTGCATCCTGATGTTAATGTTGTCTGGCTGGTCTTGATCGTCAGATTGAAATTTTGAATTATAGTAAACCCCACACCTAGATGAAGTAGTGTCAGTGTAGTAAAAGTATATTGTAAACATAGAAGGAAATAGTATTGAAATTGATAGTTACCCTGAAATAAGGGTGTGGAGGAAAAAAGGACATATGCTGTTAGAAAGATAAAGAAAAAGAGAATATATCTATGGCTGTTGTTTTAAAGATTTTCGTTTATACTCTTTATTTTTTCCCCTTTACAACGATACTCGAGCTCTATAACTGGTCATCAAGCATATATTAAAGTGTATTGGCTCAACCACTTACCACTCATCCTCTTATCTTTGCTAGTGCATCATTTTCGGCCAACCTTCCATAGGTTATGGGGAGCTATTTTGTTGTTGTCCTTCTGTATGATTCCTCTGGTGTTCACCTATTGTCACGCCCCAAACCGACACAAATTTTAGTGAAAATGATAATAAAATCAAGGCACGTGACAGTCGGCCACAAATTCTCTTATCAAAAAGACTTGCGAAGCCTAACTCCAAAATTCCAACAAAAATGTATTTCCATATATATAATCCATGAAGAAAAACTTCATATTCTAAACCCAAACTTGCATTACGTATCAATTCCAAATAGCTCCTTACCATAATTCCAAATAGCTCCTTACCATATCATCAGAGAATTTGCAACCAACGATCCAATGCACCCTCTTGGACTTGATCCTCAAGTTACAGTAATATGAGAAATGGTTTTATATTTGGGGTGCGCTTTCCATGTGCTCAGTAAGTGCTGTATATATTCAATAATTTATGTAATTGAAACAATGTACATAATAGAGTTTGTCCAAATGTGGAGTTTATAGTAAATACACAAACATTTTGGAATCAATTTTATGCATTGAAATAAAGCAACAGCACACCTTATCTGCAAAACTAGACTGCTTATAAGTGGCGATCTATCTAGAAAGGCTGACTATCACAGCACTCCGCTTTTTACGTCATATTCAACCAAACTGCCTACCGTGACAATCAGTCTGATTCGAACCGCCTACTGCGACGGTCTGCTCGATATAACACCGTACTCACTTAATAGGCCTATGACTTAATTGCTTGGTGTACACCATTAACCTACGAAAAGTTCAATTTATGTGTCAATATGATTCAACTATCATTTGACAGAACCTGCATGTCATGCATAGCCTACAACAACAAAATCAAATATCCATGTGACAAATTCAAAAAACATTAACTCGTGCTTACATCAGTGATGGAATATCTTAAAACATACTTTTTACATGAATTCCATGCTTGCGCATTAAACTATAGCATTTTAAGAAAATGATGAGAAAATCAAAAATTAAAGAATACTTAATTCTACTTACCAATATTTTGCCTAATCCATGTTCCTCATATAGTCCTCCACAAGGCATTCCCAATTATTGTTAGGCTTTCCTAGTATAGAGACATAGATAAATATCAATTGTCACTCAATACATATGTTTATACCTACACACTACGTAACTACCTTCTCAACTCTACTTATCCTAGTGTGTAATCCTTCTAATTGTCTTAGAACAGTCCTCAACATCTTTACATGCTTTATCGAAGTGTTTTGAAGCTCTAAAACTAGTTTAGTTGTCATAGGGGTATTTCTGTAATTTCTAAAAACTGCAAGGAGGGGTATTTATGTAATTCTGAAACTGCAGGGGTGATCACAGATTATACATAATATTGGAGGCTCAAACATAAATTATTTCATCTCTATACATATATAAGTATTAATTTCTGAATTAATCCATAAACATGTACCTGTATAATAAAGCAATCACACCCCTCTATTCACTTCTCCATTCTCTTAACAAATCCACGTATTAATATAAAAGGCTAACATATAATTCATATAACAAAAGAGCATTTTAGAACTTCATGATTTACCTTAAATAACAACAATGATTTTTCTCTCTAGCTCTTTCATGTTGCTTCATCTTTAGTCATGTTTATCTTATCTTTTCCATTTCACTGATGGCTCCACTGTTTTTATTTTTCTCCCAGCAACTCCTTTCTTTTTTTCTTTTTATTTTTTTCACTTTCTTCTTGCTCCAAACTGCAGCTTCTCTCCTCGGTTATCTTTTTTCCCCTTTTCTTATTTTTTTACACTAGTATAGTGCACATGCTTTGCACGTAACGTACATGTTTTAAGTTTTGAATTTTTTATTGAATAGTAAAACTATGTGTCAATGAATTAAATTTTGTAATAAGATTGCTTACAAAGAAATGTATGAAAAATAAGTCCCCCAAATCTAAAATTGTTCTTAAACAAGACTACCAATTCTGTAAGTTTTTCTCTTAAATTATGCCCCTCCAACATAAAGTTGTTAACTTAACTCTAAATTAAATAAGCTGCATTATTATTGCTATCTTTTTCTTGATATTCTCTAGATAGTTACACTTAATATCTACAACATATTGCAATAGCTACTTCTTATTACAATTATTTAGCAGGGTAAATTATTCTAAACCCTTATGCACTATTAGCCCCTATGGGCTTTCAGAATCACACTAAACCCTTAATGACTTTTCATTTTCAAAGAAAACGCCCAACAACATTCTGAATTTTGCAGATAACCTCTATAAATTAGAACCGGAAAATGCCATGAAAAGGCAATTTGAAAGTTATTGGGGGGTTTTGTGTAACTTATCTAAAAGATATTAGGGGCCTTCTACAAAAGTTATTAGGTGTTTAGTATGATTTCGATAGTTCATAGGGTCTATTTACTACAAAATACTAAAAGTTCATGGATGTTTACTGAAATTTACCTTATTTAATATTGTAATTCTTAGTTCAAATAATACTATTAAAATAATTATACTATTTATATACTTTGAAATATTTATCCAATTAATTTTTTTATTATGCTTTTAAATAATTTAGTACTATAAATATTTCATAAATTTCTATTATAATATAATAAATAATTAATTGTACTATTATTAATAATAAATAATTTTTTGTAAAAATGTTAGTTTTCAATCATTACCAAAGTATCGTATAATAATCTTTGAGAAAATATTCTAAAAATAATTTTAAATTATTTATTTAATAATATAATATTAAATAAATAGTTATTCTAAAAATAATTTTAAATTATTTATTTAATAATATAATATTAAATAAATAGTGTAATTCATAATTTATGTGATATTATTAAAATAATTATACTATTTATGTTATTAAATATTTATTCTATTTATTTTATTGCTCATTGAGTTATAGTATAATTCTTAATAGTATTCAGTAATATATTATTCAATTTATACTATTATTTTTATCATTTTATTATAATGATTATTATAATAATTTAATTGGTTACTACTAATAATTGTGTGTACTTATTTTATAAATTATTTTATTATATTATTTTTAAATAATTAATAGTTATAATATTTTTGATAATTATAATTATTTAGGAAGGTGAGAAGGTGCATAATTAATAAAATGTTATATTTATTTAATGAAAGATTAATTTGAGATAATGATATAGTTAGAATTTATCAAAATTTGAGAGGGAGAAATAAAATTAAAAGTTTAAACACCACAATCATCTTTTTATAGTAGTATAGTTATCTTCCTGCAACTTGCTTTTTCTTTTCTCAGCTTGCTTCTGCTCTTTTTTTGTCTTCTCCTTTTCTTTCCCCTCCTTCCTTTTGATTCTGAAGGAGAAAATGAGGGGAGAAGGGATACTGAAGTATCCCTGTCCACCTCATGCTTAACCATGGGACGTGTCCCTTCCCTCTCTCTTTGCATGCAACCTCCACCTCGTCTCAATTTCCTGCAAGGACGTCTCCTTGAATTTTACATAAAACCCCTTATGCTTTTTATATTTGCATATTCTAACTTTCTTTTTGAAACATCATTGTCAAAGTTTGATTGTAAATATTTATTACAAATGCATATAAATCCATCAATTCATAATAGATCAATCATAAAAAATTATGGGTTGCTACACCTATTGACTCTTCTTCTAGAAAGCTTATGTAGACATTTTGCTACTGTTCAAGTTAGGCATTTGGTAACTTGGCTTGTGGATCACTTTCGTCAACATCTTTGTGCACTATATATCTCCTTTGTAGATTCACCTGAGTTGTCCAATTTTTAAGCTGGAAAAGAACAGTGAAAACAATGATTGCGGATCCTTTTGTTCTTAAAAATATGTGCAAAAAATCTCAGGCAAAAAAAGTAAACAAAGAATCTTCATGAAGCATAAATTAGTTATGGCTGTAAGCAATTGTTCTCAAGATGAAATGTTAACCAACAATGCAAATGAAGCAGCTCTTCTATAAACTTCTTGGTAGATAGAAATTTGTAGGTGAGATAGATAAAAAAGATAGGAACAATGGGAAAAAAATTTCGTAAAGTAATAAGGAAAAAGAAATTTCTTCAAGAAAAACATAAAATACTTCTGATAGTAAGCAACCATCCTTAGGCAAATGTTTTCCATCACAAGTTAAAGAGATTTTGTCCAAATCTGAGAGATGGAAGTTGGAAGTTCATTCGGTGAGATAGCTGAAAGAGCTAGGATAAACGATAATGCCTACAGCTTTGATACATGGGTATGATGACAAGAATGACCTTTAATCAGCGACAAATTTATTGTCATTGGCACAAAATTATGCTGGAAATTGGAAACATTTACAATGAACCTTTTGTACATAAATGCAGGTGACGAAAGCATACAATTACATCCACAAATATGGGCACAAATCGAAACTGATGGCAGCAGCAGTTCGCAATAAACAGGATTTATTTAGCCTTCTTGGGTAAACGGTGGTCTTACTTTTGCCTCTTTGAAGGTGTTAGGCTTTAACCTAATTTATAACCAATATATATTTTCTCATAGGGTTGATTACATTATTGCCCCACTGAAGATATTGCAATCTCTAAAGGAATCTGCTACCTATCCTGAGGAGAAGTACTCATATGTCAGGAGGCTGTCACCGAGCTCTGCCATGGGATATGAATTTGGTGATGAAGAGGTAATCTTCAATATTTCCTTGTATTTGAATTTTCACTCGTCTAGACCTCTTTGGGTAAAACATCTTATAGTTAGTTAATCCTTGTAAAGAGGATTTGGTTACAATTAAAAGAATCACTTCTGAAGATAACAAATGATACAAGGAGATATGCATCAGATGGAATAACTTGCTTCACCCTATACTTTTACACCACTTGACATTGATTTGATGAGGTAGGGAAACTGCTAAAAGTAGCTAGCTAAGTTCATTGTTCTGTAATTTTGTTGTGGAGCTAGTCATCCATCAGGGTGAGTGACACACCTTTTGGAGCTTGAATAAGAATGAGCATGTTTTTATGTTAATATTATTGCTGTACACTCAGTTTCAATATACATATACTGTTTGAGCACCAGAACCGTGATGATGTTGTACATGGGGCTAATCGCAAACACAACAACTATCTTTCCCATCCCTGCCTGCCTATCTGTAAACTTGCATCTGTATCCAGTGTCAAAAGAATTAAAAGTGGCTGAAGTATGAGTCAATCCCAACCCTTATTAACCACAGTACAGTTTGGCATTCAGTAAAATTTGGCGAAGGATAGAATTTACAGTCAGGTTAAAGAACTTCAGAAAATTCCTCAGAGGTTTGGAAGAAATTTGTAATATCGTAAACATTTGGCAGAATTTCTAGTCCTTAGTTCAGCCTTGCTTAAACTAAAATTTGCTTACTTGCTAAACCTTTCAAGGAACAGTTGAATCCCTATATCTGTTAGCCAGCAGTAGCACATTATATTCCTTTATTCCTTTTTTCTACCTTTTCCCAAGATCCTATGTTGTCTTTGTGAACAATTTAGATATAGGGCTGAGGCAGTGGATGAACTCAACCAGTGCAAAGGAATGATGAAGGCGCATTGGCTGAAACCCTACAGACTTGGACATGGATATGGACATGGATATGGACATGAATATGAACATGGCTATGAGGCAATGATAAAGAACTGAACTCCAAGACACAACAACACATGACATTTTTATTTTTATTTTTTGGCTCAAAAATTCAGAAGAAACATGATGGTGGTTAGTTTGTTTTCTTTCTGTTTTAAGTAACAAAAACTAAAATATCCTGGATACATTATGCATCGGATAAACATTCATTAGATTTCTTGTTTGAAATGAGTCCCAAAGCTGCATTATTACCACAAAATGTGTGTTTATTACTCGTGAATCTGGACCATTTGATAATTGGCGAGTCTTTGTGACTATGATAAATTGATGACTTCCTCATTAGCAAGAAATAAGTGATTGCAATTTGAAAACTCTACAGAGTTGGAATAACCTGAAACTGCAGAAGAAAACAGTTTTCTCCAAAAATATTTAAAACGAAATATCTGAAAAAATATTGATTTTGAGTTATCATCTTTTACCATGGTTGATATTCTTGTTAACCTTTTCCTATTTTAAGGCAGATGGGATTCACTGGACAGATGCCTCGTCCATTTCTTCTGATAAAACTGGAGCTTTAGAACTATTTTCTTATCTTTCTTTAGGTTTTTTTTTTTGATGTATGAGTAGTTTTGAACCATGTTTAAGCATGATTAGAAGCTCGCAAGGCCTTTCCATTTTCTTACCTGACTGTATTTAAGTTAAATATGTTTTTATTATCAAAGAGCTCCCTTTCATCATAAGGAGCACAATGGTTCTCTTTCATCCTCTTTCATCTACTTCTGACTTCCCTGTCCTGTTTTCCTTTTATCAACAAGGTCCTCTAACATTGTTAGAGTATAAACCAATAACCCTCGACCCTCACCATAGCTTTGGAGTTTTGGTGCCTAGCTAAAGGAACTTTTTTGAAGTTAAAAAAGGATTTGAAAGAAGTTACCGTCGCATTAAATGATCCATGTTTCGGTTAAGCAAAGGGACTCACTTTCATGGACATGTTAAGAGTATACAATAATAACCCTCAATCCTTAACATAACGTCAAAGTTTTGGCGAGGGACTTTAAGACTCTTGACACAACCTTTTTCCCTCCTTCTTTGACACAGCTTGTGGAGTGGGATCAAAGGAGCTTTGCATCAGCAATGGGGCCCTGTGCTGAAGAGCTTTTGGCTGCTGGACTTGAAGGATACGCCAACCAAGCAAAGAGAGTGGAGGAGCTCTTCGGCAGGATCTGGCCGCCTCCTAATGTTTAAAACTTAAATGAGAAGCTCTAAATAAAACTACCTCTGGTTTCTTTCTCTAATGAGTGATTGCTTGAAATAGTTTGGCATCTGCAGCTGCATGGTGTGCACTATGCGATCCAAACTTTAGATTACTCTTCAAATCGACAAACTTTACATTCTGTTTTTCTTTTGCCCTTTATCTGCTGTATGCAAATTAAGTAATTCTCTGCGAATCTTTTCTGTGTGGAGTTTCAAATTTGGGGTCAAGATTTGAAATGCAAGATTATATGAATTATTGTCGGGTTTGACTTGTGTTTGGTTCCATGTCTACTTATCTGTGCTTTGAGAATTTTCATTGTTGTTTTTTTATTCTGTGACCTAGTTAACTGCATGTTTTCTCTGTTTCCCTTTTTTTTTTTTGGTTTTCCTGGGGTTTAGTGACTTGGAACATTTTCACAAGAAGTGGGATAATTGTTGGAGACAATTTTTGAACCGAGATATTTAGCTAAAATAATTTGGGATAATTTATGATGATCAAGAAGTATGTAATTTTTGGATTTTTGATGATATAACTACTATTTTATATTTTTGAACTTACAATTGTTTAATATAATGTTAGTTATTGTTGCAAAACTCTTGGTTAGAATATAATATATTATTAATAATAATTATAACAATCCATAATCTTTTTATTTTTATGAATTATTATAGAACAAGTATGGAAAAAAATTTAAGCCCCCACCCCCACCCTTCCCATTTCCTTCTTTTTTTTTACGATCCGAAATCTCTTTCTTGCATATCTTAATTTCAATAATATTTAGTAAAGTATAGATCTATGATTTTTTTTACTTTAAAATAGTTATACAAATCTAATTATTATTAAGGTGCGGGGGTGGTGCTTTGCGATGATTCGGGTGTGATCTAATTGACGTTGTTTCAACCATTGGAATGCTCATATGATCCTCTAATTTGTAAGCTTAGATCAACTGAACATAGTCTTTGGGTGGCTTTTTCCAAAGATGAAGTGGAATCATATTGTTGTTCTATGGTGATCATTGCTCTAAACTACATTTTTTTTTTCTCTTGCGCCCTGTTTGTCATATCGTTGATGATATTAATTTATTTGCGAAAGGTTTAATCTTTGGTAGCTTTTGCTTATATGAGGAGAGAGAGCAATTGTGTGGCTAATTCTTTTGCTCAGTTAGAAGCTAGAAGTAGGCAGGGCCAAGTATGGGGTGACTTTAATCCTCTATACTTCCATTACTTTTGTGCTTCATGATCTTCTTTTCAATCTACAATGAATAAAGTGCTATCCCAGCATAAATAAAAAAAAAATCTAATTAATATTTGGTAAAAAAGAAAGAGTATAAAGAGAGGATTAAGAAGAGAGATAGTTGAATGTGATAGTGTGGTCAGATGATGGCAATGAACATTGGAGGAAGAGAGGATAGAGAAAAGAAAAGAAATATGAAAAAAAAAAAGAAATAAATAGTAGAGTTCTAGATTTTTAACAAGTAGTTCTAGTCTACAGCTTATGATAATTTGAGAGAGTAGAACTCCTATTTTTATGTAAAAAAAGTGAAAAAAGTAGGATAATTTTTTTTTACCATTATCCCATTTCCAATATTGTTCTAATTCTAATTGACTAACACTATAAAAGTTTATCCAAGATCTGGTTCTAGTTGACTTAAAATTTTACTGTATAGTTTATCCTAATTCTAGTTTTAAATTCTACTTGACTAACCACCCCCAAGTAATCAATATTTAACTCTCATCATTTGATAAGCTTTAGAATTGTAATTTCTTACTAATGCTCGCATATAAGTTCCATCTAGGTATCAATATCGTTTATCCCCAATTTTGCGCCTTGAAGGGGAGTAAGTAGACATCAGTCTTTTATCATGTAACAAGTGTTTTGGCCGCGCTCGAACGGGTGGATCTTATACTTAGAAAGAGGAATTTTGAGGGGCGAGTGGAAATCCAACCCCACATCATTAGCTTGGAAGGGTTGGCTCATTGTTTTTTAATTTGTGTATGTATATGATTTGCTTGGTCTCTACGGATCACTTTTTTGGTCATATACATGTGCTTTTTAAATTGAATTGCACTGAATGTTTTTTTGTTAGAACGCTGCTTTTTTTTATATACGGGTTTTCCAATATTAGCCCTTTAAATCTTCAATATTTTGAAATTAGTTCCTCAAATCATGGAAATTGCTATCAAGTCCTTCAATTCATAAGGTATTTTGAAATTACTCCCTCGAATCATTGGAATTGCTATTAAATCTCCTAATTCTTAAGTTATTATGAATTTAGTCTCTCCAATCAAGAGTAAAAGTATCAACTACAGAGAAATTAGTCCCTTAAAGTCTAAATTTTTATTAGATCATACAATTCTTATAAGTTATTTCAACTAATCCCTAAAATCACTAAACTTCCTAGATACGTCACTAATTTAACACGTGCATAATTTTGCATATATGATTTTATCTAGAGTGATTCTCTACATGGTTTTATACTTTAACTTTTATATCTAAATATATGATTATGAGATTTTTTTAACTATATATAGTTATCAATTTTTTATTAGGATCACCAAATAGTTGATTATTAAATTTTCTAATTATGGATAATCTTAAGTTGATGAGGATTCTTAGATGAAGATAAAATTAGTTATCCACATGTCATATTGTAGTACGCCGGATAGAAGGATACATGACTGCCTTATGACAGTTCTTTTGCAAATAAATAAATTTGTATAATATAAAACTTTATTAATTTGCAAAGCAAATGCAGGAGGGTCTATGAGAAAAAAGTCAAAGCTCAAGGAGTTTTGAAAAAATGCAAAAGTTTAAGGATTATGTGAGTATACAAAGTTTAGAAGGGACCTATAAGAAACGCAACATATTTTAGGGGGTAATGTGAAATTAACTTTTAGAAATCCATATACAAATCCCAAAAAAATTGGGCTGGTGGAGTTAGGGCCTATTTCGTTGGTAGGAGTTCTTTTTTATTAAGGATTTGTAGGTAATATATTTTTTAAATATTCACAAATCCCAAAAAAATTGAGAGACCGAAAAAATAGATGATGTAAAAATATCTTCTCTGGGCAGATACCTTAATAAATTTTGATGTTAACTAGAATCTATTAGAATTTCAAATTCGACACTAATGAAACGGTAACAGATCAAAATACTTGTCCCTTTCTATAATATCATTAGAATCAATTAGAATTTCAATCTTATTGGAAGAGTACTTCAGGGTTATGTGAGAAACCACCCAAAGTTCAGGTGAATATGTGAAATTAACTCTTTAGATGTCCATAGACAGATTGGAATTTAAATGGGCTGGTGGAGTTAAAGACCATTCCATTTGGTAGGACTTTTATTTTTTTTAGGATTTGCATGCAATGCATTTTTTAAAAATTCAGAAATTCCTAGAAAATTAAAAGATTTAAAAAATAGTTGTCGCAAAATATCATCTAGTAAAAACCTAGATGAATCTTGATGTCAATTAGAATTTCAAATTCAACATTGACAAAATTTTGATGGGTCAAAATACTTATCCCTTCCAAAAATATTTTTAGAATCAATTAGAATTTCAAACTAATCCAAGAAGAGTACACATCCCTAAATTTTTATCAATTGCCAATATGTCAACTTTAGGTTTCTTTCTAACTGCCACAAGAACATCATGAGCTACCCCATAAAAAAATTAGTTGTCGCGGATACCTCCTTCTCAGTTCCTTCTTCAATAACTCGAGCTGTTGATGGTGTGAAAACATTTCCTGATGTCAAATTCTAAAAACCAGTAAGAGGTTCCCCACACTTCTTTAATACGTCTTAAGCCGAGTGGCAGCCTTTACTCAAGCGAAAGTGCACTTTGTTTGGAAGCTTAGGATCATTAAAGGATTTCGGTACCACTCAGATTGCCTCTTTCATGATCTTTTCTTGCTGGTATTTTATTTTCAAGTATTGAATATCCAGTGTTGATAATAAACCTTATAGCTATTACTGCATAGAGAATAACAATTATTTGCCGACTCGTTATTAATGTTTATGGCATTTTTGCTATGGATCTGATTGCAAAGTATCTATCGCTTTCAGCCACTCAGCCACTCTCCTCTTCTGGTTCCGATGCCACCCTAGTGAGTTCCTAAATAAGAAGGATGGCGGAGTTTGTTCTTATTAAGTTATGAAGATGGTGAAAATTTCTAATTATATATTGTGAGGATCTAAGATGCAAATCTAGAGAAAAATGAATAGGATTGCCTACTATTTTTGAAAGAACATAGAATATGCAGTAGAAAATAAATAGATAATAATAAAAATAAGCAAAGTAATAATCTCAGAATAATCACATCCAGAACACACAAAAATTTATAGTTGTTCGAATAAACAATCATACATCCACTCTTCTAGGATGAGCAAACGACCGTTTCAGATGGTTTTGACTATTTTTTTATAAAACTAAACTGAACTGAGCTAGATTCAAATCAAACCAAACCGTGTTAAATTGATTTGGTGTGGTTCAGTTCGGTTTGGCCTTTTGACATGCAAAGTTAGAAAACTTTTAGGTGACATACAAGACTATTACTCCTTCAAACCTTTCACTCACTCACACCTTAAATTAAAGAAAAACTCTTCAAATCAGCGACTTTACAAACTAAAATCAAACATTTATCAATTTAGATATGTGAAAGTACTATTATAAATTATCTATTCACCTTGAATAAGCATAAGTTTTAATTAGTTATGTTGATAGTAGTTAGTTTGGGTATTTTGTTTTCAAATATTTTCGAGCGAACAGAACCAAAGTTTTTCTAAGACCGAATTGAACCACTAAAAATCAGTTGGTTCGGTCAGTTTAATCGCTTTGCACCAAACTGTGCTCACTCCTACATTCTTTCTTCTCATGAAAGGGCTTCCTCACTAAATGAAAGTTCTCCTAAATCACAAACCTAATTCAGTCGGTTGAAGAGACCGAAACCCTAGTTTCTCCCAAACTACTTGTCTAAATTAAAATATCATAGTGACTAACCCAAGCCCTAAATAATGACCAATTCCTCAATTAGCACCATGGCTTGAGTATGTAATGTAGAAGAGGACAATGGAGGAGGCACTTGAGGACAAAATAAGTGGGTCTAGTAGAATTCAAAAGTCACTATGTCAAAATAAAGAGAAATTTTAGTGTTTTGGGACTATATGGAGGGTGAAATCATTATTTTTTATGTTTTATTTGATATTTTAATGTTTTATTTTAGATCTAATAAGTTGTAAGGTCAAGATTAACTATTATTTAGGGTTGATAAAT